CCCTGGGAAGGCTGGAGGCCCCCTATTTCAAAATAAGTGTCTACACAGCACTTATTTCAAAATAGCTATTTCGAATTTGGCATTATTCCTTGTGGAATGAGGTTTACCAAATTCAAAATAAGCCCTCCGCTATTTCAAATTAATTTTGAAATAGCAGCTTGGCTATTTCAAATGCTAGTAAAGTTATTTCAAAATAACGGCTGGTATTTCAAAATAATTTTGCTGTGTAGACATACCCTTAAAGATTAACAATTTTAACAATGGCATAAGCTTTCGTGAGTTACAGCTCACTTCATCAGGTGCATAAAAGGAAAGAAAAAGAAACAGTAAGGATTTAGGGATGGGAGTGCTTGCTTTGATGTAACATTCCAATATCAGTATCCCTACTACAGATTAACCCTCTGTAGTCCAGGACTCTCTGGTCTGGAAACATCCATCATCCAGAATGATTTTTGTTAGCCAGATGTACTCTAGATGGACCTTTGGTCTGACCCAGTACGGCCGTTCTTATGTTCTGATGTTATGTTCTTATGTACATTTCATGGGTGTAGGCATGTTTCCTGTGGTTCCATAAAGTTTTTTTTATAGCCACTAGTCCTGGCTCTGTGTTTTGTGCTGTTGTTTAGCTCTAATTTACCCCAAATGTCTTTTAAGAGACTAGTAACCATTGGAAGTGATGATAAAGCTACTAGACAATATTGACCTTCAGTGGTCCAGAAAATTCTCTGGTTTGTATATAACCCTCAGGCTAAAACTTATCTTCAGAAACCATTTGCAAAACAATGAACAACTCACAAAAACGAACACAGGAAAAAACAGTCATGTGTAGGTTTGTATCATTGTGACAGTGGCTGGTCCCAGCTTTGCTGACGTTAAATGATCTCCAGCATTGACTGCTTCAAGATTTTACTGGAATGTGAAATCAGTCCCAGACCCACTGCCGCTGACCTGGAGATGGCTGCAGCTTGGAGATGTGCCAGCTGACGTTAAATGATCTCCAGCATTGACTGCTTCGAGATTTACTGGAATGTGAAATCAGTCCCACACCCACTGCACTGACCTGGGGATGGCTGCAGCTTGGAGATGTGCCTTGTGACCAAGTCAGGCCAGCTAGGTACAAGGGAGTATGGGAAGGAAGAGACATAAGCCCAGAATGTTAAAGGCCCCAACCTATCAGCTGAGAAGGGGTTACCTGAGATTCATTGGAAACACCTGTACTCAGTTAGGGGCCTTTCTTGGGAAGCACATTTTTAAAGCCTCTTCCCTGCTGACTGAAGGGGACTCGATGACAGCAGGGCACCAAGCATCCCCAGGAATAGAGGCCATGCTTCTTCCCCCAAAGGAAACAGAGAAGGCTGAGCATCTGCGAGGGGAAAGACTGAGTGCCCAGGGCAAACCCCAGCTCGATATCCCACCCCAGTGAGGAGGCAAGGGAGGTATCTCCCTTGATATTTGTGTCTAGTGAAGCAGTTCCTTCTGCTTATTGGAGGATTGGCTTATCCAGAAAGTACAGCCGAAGGAACACAGCAGGGGGAGGCAAAGACTGCCCAATGTGGCAGCTAGAGCTTAATTTATCCTACGTCCACCTCACCACAGGGAGAAGGTCTGAGTTTGGTCAGACAAAGGTGTCTTGCTGCAGTCTGTAGGGTCTGGCCCATCGCCAGTTGAAGTCCATAGCAGCCCTCCTTTAGTGAGGATCAGACTAAAGAAGCAGATTTTCAAAAAAGCAAAGCTCCCATTTAGGCACCTAATACAGGTCACCCAGCCTGTCCTATTGAGACATTTGTCAGACAAAGGTGTCTTGCTGCAGTCTGTAGGGTCTGGCCCATCGCCAGTTGAAGTCCATAGCAGCCCTCCTTTAGTGAGGATCAGACTAAAGAAGCAGATTTTCAAAAAAGCAAACCTCCCATTTAGGCACCTAATACAGGTCACCCAGCCTGTCCTATTGAGACATTTATGGCCAGCTTCGTCATAGCCCTTGACAGCCAATGTGCTGAGCTCTGTTGAACACTTGTTATGCCTACGTGGGAGATGATCTCTCTGGGAACACTGGCTTGTCTTTCTTAATTACTCCAGGTAGGACCTCCCTGGTCTGGCACCCTCAGGATCTCACTGGTCCCAGATGAGGGGTTTTGCCAGATTGGAGCAGGTCATTTCTAACCCCACTGCTGCCGGCCCTACCCCATTCCTGGTTTCCTGTCTCCCCCCAAATCCCAGCTGAGCCGCACACCTGGCTTTCCGACTCTTACCCAACCCAGCGCAGCTGGGCTGTGCATTATTCCCCCCTCCATTGGGCCATACACCCAGTCCCCCACATCTTAGAGTGCGCCAGGACTCTCTGATCTTGGAACTTCCGTGGTTGGCACTTCTGTGGTCCTCCTGAACCAATGTTGCTGAATCAGTGGGTTCTGGTTTATAGAGGTACAACCTGTTTCATTGTGTGTATTGCTGTTGCACCCAGGGGTTCCAGTGATGGATCAAGGTGCTGCACAAACATTGCTTTTCTGGGTTTTCCCTCCTGCAACTTTTGTTTTTAAAGGATCACTCTGCTGATGTCAGTAGCCTTTGCAGGTTTTCTCTTTGCCCTCTGTGTCCAGACTAGAAATGGCAGTAGGACAAATGGCAGAGAGCTGTGTCATTAACTTCCTGTTTCGTGTTTGTTATGAAACCTGTGAAAGTGAAGTTGCATTTAGAGCGAGCTGTGTCATTAACTTCCTGTTTCGTGTTTGTTATGAAACCTGTGAAAGTGAAGTCGCATGTACAGCTGTGACAAACGCTCAGAAGTGTGTACACACGTGGGGAGGTTTTTGTATCAGTCTGTATCACTGTGAGAGGGAGATAGCCTTGTTGGCAGTAATAATCTGCAGCATCTCCAGCTTCAACCCGGCTGATTGTAAGAGTGAAATCAGTTCCAGACCCAGTGCCACTGAACCGGTCTGGGATCCCAGAGGGGCGGGTGGAAGCGTTTTGGATGATGAGTTTAGGAGCTTGTCCTGATTTCTGCTGGTACCAATGTAGGTAAGTGCTAACACTTTCACTGGCTCTGCATTTGATAGTGACAGTGTCTCCTGGGGAGACCAATAATGATTCTGGAGTCTGCGTCAGCACTTTTTGCCCAGTGGACTCTAGACGTAAAAAAAAAAAATACAGGAACATGTGATTTATTAATCAGAGTTATAGCTTTATATTCCCTACATTTTAACTCTATTAAAGAAACAAATCAAATCTCTGTTACCACAAATAGATTATATTTGCATTGTCTCTGCTGTTGCTGTTCATTAAGCGAGGTCTCTTGTGTTTTCTTACCCTGAATCCAAAACACAAGTATCCAGAGAAGCTGAGTGTGGGAGATCATGGTGGCAGTTCTCAGCCACAGTGCGAGCCAGAGTGCTGTGCAATGCAAACCGCTCCATTTATACACGCTCAGCAGGGCAGGAAGGGAGTGTCACACGTGTGAATTTGCAAAAGGAACAAGTCATGTAAATACTTCTGACTTGAGTGGAGTCTGAACTGCCTTGTCGGTCATGTCTGGTTTATAGGAATGGAGTGGCAAGATGCTCAAGGGGATATCTTATTGCTGTTGGTAGATATAAGTAGACCAATCTTCCACCCATAGTCTGGGAGGCTTTTAGCAGCTGGACCTGCCATCATTTTATCTTCTAGCTCTACTCTCTCCCCATGAAAACAGAACTGCATAACACAGTATTTCTTTATGCAAGAAATTAAAGACCATCTTCCAAAGTGTTCCCCTTTGGAAAGTTATGGCTCTGCTTTCTAGCAGTTGGAGTATAGCAAACTTGCATGAGCTACAGCACTGCAAGGAATTGCTGGAAACAATGAACCTACTGCATGTGAGAGCTGGGCTCAAACTGTTCCTGGCTGGCACTCTCTTCCTCAGGTACATGAAGGGTTTCTTGGAACCTCACTTCCTACCTTGTGTCCTCTATTCAAAAGGATTTTGGCAGGAATGAGAGATGGGGAGAGATTCTGAGCAACTGAATCCACAGAGAATATTTCTGGGCTGGAGTCCACAGTGTGTTCTGAGCTGGAGAGACACTAGAACAGCTGCTTGCCAGAGGCTATTTATGGCATTTTTAATAATTTTTATGCTGGTTTATAAAGCTGCAACCTGTATCTTATGTATGTTGCTCTTGTGCCCTCGAGCTCCAGTGATGGATCAAGGTGCTGCACAAACATTGCTTTTTTTGGTTTTCCCTCCTTGCAATTTCTGTTTTTAAAGGATTGCTCTGCCAGTGTCAATAGCCTTGGCAAGCTAAATTTTAATCTTGATTGTTTAATGACAGACTTGACCAGACCACTGCAACCTTGTCTTGCTCCAGAAGCTTGGTTAATGGAGCAATGGAGGACATTTTGTACATATGTAATAATGCACGGTATACATCATGGGGTATTTTTGTGTACTATATAAAAATCATCCTGGTCGCTTTTAATTTAAATCTCTTTGCCCTCTGTGTCCAGACTAGAAATGGCAGTAGGACAAATGGCAGAGAGCTGTGTCATTAACTTCCTGTTTCGTGTTTGTTATGAAACCTGTGAAAGTGAAGTTGCATTTAGAGCGGTGACAAACGCTCAGAAGTGGGTACACACATGGGGAGGTTTTAGTATTGGTCTGTATCACTGTGATCGGGGTCCCAGCCCAGCTGGGCTACACGTTGTTCCCTCCTTCATTTTGCCAGGCTCCTAGTCCCCAACACTCCACAGTGTGCCAGGACTCTGATCTTGGAACATCCGTGGTCATCCTGGACCACTGATGTTGCCGGACTTGAGAGTTCTTGTTTATAGTGGTACAACCTATGTCATTGTGTGTATTGCTGTTGTGCCCAGGGCCTGCAGTGATGGATCAAGGTGCTGCACAAACATTACTCTTCTGGGTTTTCCCTCCTGCAACTTCTGTTTTAAAAGGATCACTCTGACTATGTCAATAGCCTTTGCAGGTTTTCTCTTTGCCCTCTGTGTCCCGACTACAAATGGCAGTGGGACTAATGGCGGAGAACTGTGTCATTAACTTCCTGTTTTGTGTTTGTTATGAAATCTGTGAATGTGATGTCGTGCAAACAACTGTGACAAATGCTCGGCAGCGCGCACGCACATGGGGAGGTTTTTGTATTGGTCTGTATCACTGTGTTAGGGATATAGCTTTGATGACAGTAATAATCTCCAGCATCTTCAGCTTCAACCCTGTTGATTGTGAGAGTGAAATCGGTCCCAGACCCACTGCCACTGAACCGGTCTGGGATCCCAGAGGGGCGGGTGGAGGCGTTGTGGATGATGAGTTTAGGAGCTTGTCCTGATTTCTGCTGGTACCAGTGTAGGTAAGTGCTAACACTTTCACTGGCTCTGCATTTGATAGTGACAGTGTCTCCTGGGGAGACCGATAGCGATTCTGGAGTCTGTGTCAGCACTTTCTGCCCAGTGGACTCTAGATGTAAAAAGAAAATACAGGAACTTGTGATTTATTAGTCAGAGTTAATACACTTTTTAATTTGATAGATTATTAAATAAAAACAAATCAAATATCTGTTATATGCACATTCTCTGCTGCTACTGTTCATTAAGCGAGGTCTCTTGGGTTTTCTTACCCTGAATCCAAAACACCAGTATCCAGAGAAGCTGAGTGTGGGAGATCATGGTGGCAGTTCTCAGCCGCAGTGCGAGCCAGAGCACTGTGCAATGCAAACCGCTCCATTTATACACGCTCAGCGGAGCAGGAAGGGAGTGTCACACACGTGTGATTTTGCAAAAGAAATGAGTCTCGTAAATACATCTGAGTTGACTGGAGTCTGAACTGCCTTGTCGGTCATGTCTGGTTTATCGGAATGGAGTGGCAAGATGCTCAAGGGGATATCTTATTGCTGTTGGTAGATATAAGTAGACCAATCTTCCACCCATAGTCTGGGAGGCTTTTAGCAGCTGGACCTGCCATCATTTTATCTTCTAGCTCTACTCTCTCCCCATGAAAACAGAACTGCATAACACAGTATTTCTTTATGCAAGAAATTAAAGACCATCTTCCAAAGTGTTCCCCTTTGGAAAGTTATGGCTCTGCTTTCTAGCAGTTGGAGTATAGCAAACTTGCATGAGCTACAGCACTGCAAGGAATTGCTGGAAACAATGAACCTACTGCACGTGAGAGCTGAGCTCAAACTGTTCCTGGCTGGCACCCTCTTCCCCCGGTACTAGAAGGGTTTCTTGGAACCTCACTTCCTACCTTGTGTCCACTGTTCATAAGGATTTTGGCAGGAACCAGAGATGAGGAGAGATGCTGAGTAACTGAGAGTCCACAGAGAATATTTCTGGGCTGGAGTCCACAGTGTCTTCTGAGCTGGAGAGACACTAGAATAGCTGTCACCAGAGGCTATTTATGGCATTTTTCATAATTTTTATTCTAAATTTTAATCTTGATTGTTTAATGACAGACTTGACCAGACCACTGCAACCTTGTCTTGCTCCAGAAGCTTGGTTAATGGAGCAATGGAGGACATTTTGTACATATGTAATAATGCACGGTATACATCATGGGGTATTTTTGTGTACTATATAAAAATCATCCTGGTCGCTTTTAATTTAAAGTAGCTTTTATTGTAAAGTAAATACAATTACAACAGGGGATTTTATTATTTTCAGTTTGTTTTCTATATACGAGAGAACATTTTTCTGGGCTGAACGTTTTCTGCTCTGTTCCTGATGTCGTTTGCTTATGAAGCAACATGTCCTTTCCTTATTCCCTGCTCTTGGCAGTAATAATCTGCAGCATCTCCAGCTTCAACCCGGCTGATTGTAAGAGTGAAATCAGTTATGTCGTTTGCTTATGAAGCAACATGTCCTTTCCTTATTCCCTGCTCTTTGAATGGCCAGATGCTGTCATGATGGTGCTTACTTCACTGATTGCTGTGCAGGGGTTTTAATCCACCTATTAATGCCAAACTGGCCAGGACTCTGACCTCGTTCCACGTCCTGACTTCTGCTGATACCAGTGTAGGTAAGTGCTAACACTTTCACTGGCTCTGCATTTGATAGTGACAGTGTCTCCTGGGGAGACCGATAGCGATTCTGGAGTCTGCGTCAGCACTTTCTGCCCAGTGGACTCTAGACGTAGGAAAAAAAAAACCAAACAAACCCAGGAACATGTTATTTATTAATCAGAGTTATAGCTTTATATTCCATACATTTTTAACTCTATAGATTATTAAAGAAACAAATCAAATCTGTTACCACAAATAGATTATATTTGCATTGTCTCTGCTGCTGCTGTTCATTAAGCGAGGTCTCTTGGGTTTTCTTACCCTGAATCCAAAACACAAGTATCCAGAGAAGCTGAGTGTGGGAGATCATTGTGTCAGTTCTCAGCCGCAGTGCGAGCCAGAGCACTGTGCAATGCAAACCGCTCCATTTATACACGCTCAGTAGGGCAGGGAGGGAGTGTCACACACGTGTGAATTTGCAAAAGGAACGAGTCATGTAAATACGTCTGACTTGACTGGAGTCTGAACTGCCTTGTCGGTCATGTCTGGTTTATAGGAATGGAGTGGCAAGATGTTCAAGGGGCTAACTTATTGCTGCAGCTAGATATAAGTAGACCAATCCTCCACCCATAGTCTGGGAGGCTTTTAGCAGCCTGGCCTGCCATCATTTTATTTTCTAGCTCTACTCTCTCCCCATGAAAATGGAACTGCATAACAGTATTTCTTTGTGCAGGAAATTAAACACCCTCTGCCAAGTGTGTCTGGCTGTCGGAGTATAGCAAACTTGCATGATCTACAGCACTGCAAGGAATTCCTGGTAACAAGGAACCTATTGCATGTGACAGCTGGGCTCAAACTGTTCCTGGCTGGCACCCTCGAACTGCCTTGTCGGTCATGTCTGGTTTATAGGAATGGAGTGGCAAGATGCTCAAGGGGATATCTTATTGCTGTTGGTAGATATAAGTAGACCAATCTTCCACCCATAGTCTGGGAGGCTTTTAGCAGCTGGACCTGCCATCATTTTATCTTCTAGCTCTACTCTCTCCCCATGAAAACAGAACTGCATAACACAGTATTTCTTTATGCAAGAAATTAAAGACCATCTTCCAAAGTGTTCCCCTTTGGAAAGTTATGGCTCTGCTTTCTAGCAGTTGGAGTATAGCAAACTTGCATGAGCTACAGCACTGCAAGGAATTGCTGGAAACAATGAACCTACTGCATGTGAGAGCTGGGCTCAAACTGTTCCTGGCTGGCACTCTCTTCCTCAGGTACATGAAGGGTTTCTTGGAACCTCACTTCCTACCTTGTGTCCTCTATTCAAAAGGATTTTGGCAGGAATGAGAGATGGGGAGAGATTCTGAGCAACTGAATCCACAGAGAATATTTCTGGGCTGGAGTCCACAGTGTGTTCTGAGCTGGAGAGACACTAGAACAGCTGCTTGCCAGAGGCTATTTATGGCATTTTTAATAATTTTTATGCTAAATTTTAATCTTGATTGTTTAATGACAGACTTGACCAGACCACTGCAACCTTGTCTTGCTCCAGAAGCTTGGTTAATGGAGCAATGGAGGACATTTTGTACATATGTAATAATGCACGGTATACATCATGGGGTATTTTTGTGTACTATATAAAAATCATCCTGGTCGCTTTTAATTTAAAGTAGCTTTTATTGTAAAGTAAATACAATTACAACAGGGGATTTTATTATTTTCAGTTTGTTTTCTACATACGAGAAAACATTTTTCTGGGCTGAACCTTTTCTGCTCTGTTCCTGATGTCGTTTGCTTATGAAGCAACATGTCCTTTCCTTATTCCCTGCTCTTTGAATGGCCAGATGCTGTCATGATGGTGCTTACTTCACTGATTGCTGTGCAGGGGTTTTAATCCACCTATTAATGCCAAACTGGCCAGGACTCTGACCTCGTTCCACTCCTGCAGCTTAGTAGCCTGGAAACTGCAGCCCAGCAATATGAATCCAAGGAAACCAACACACACCTGGAGACTTCTCTGGTGCCATCATTCCCTGCTTGGGCTGATTAGAAACCCTCTTTTTCCACCTCTCATGAGAATAGCTAACTCCAGTTTTAAGGGCTTGACACAAGAAGACTGGCCGCACATCTGTTAGCTTCCTGCAAGGAAACCCTCCCAGTTGTGGTGCTGAATTCCTGGTGGGGTTTTAGTTCCCACCATTCCCTAAAAATATCTCCCAAACAATCCACATCACAGCAAAAGCAAGCCGTGCTATGGCTGATCAGCGTAGAGCCCACTCTTATGGGGATGGTGAGGATGGATTGCTGCAGATCTGAATGATCGCCTGTAGGGGGCGCCAAATCCTGTGGGCTCCATCAAGATCTCAGCTGTGTGTTTCACCTTCATGAAGTAGAACCTGCCATGCAAGGTGAACACAGGAGGCGAGCACTGTGCAATGCAAACCGCTCCATATATACATGCTCAGCCGGGCAGGAAGGGAGTGTCACACACAGTGTTTCACCTTCATGAAGTAGAACCTGCCATGCAAGGTGAACACAGGAGGCCAAACCTATCCTTGGTGTAACTGCAGAGAACAGAGCAGCGTTAGTCCTGGGATGAATTTGAGCTGCATTGTGTCAACGAGTCATGTAAATACGTCTGACTTGATTGGAGTCTGAACTGTATTGTTGGTCGTGTCTGGTTTATAAGAATGGACTGGCAAGATGCTCAAGGGGATATCTTATTGCTGCAGCTAGATATAAGTAGATCAATCCCATAGTCTGGGAGGCTTTTAGCAGCTGGACCTGCCATCATTTTATCTTCTAGCTCTACTCTCTCCCCATGAAAACAGAACTGAATAACTCAGTATTTCTTTGTGCAAGAAATTAAAGGCCATCTGCCAAATGTTACCCTCTGACTTGAGTGGAGTCTGAACTGCCTTGTCGGTCATGTCTGGTTTATAGGAATGGAGTGGCAAGATGCTCAAGGGGATATCTTATTGCTGTTGGTAGATATAAGTAGACCAATCTTCCACCCATAGTCTGGGAGGCTTTTAGCAGCTGGACCTGCCATCATTTTATCTTCTAGCTCTACTCTCTCCCCATGAAAACAGAACTGCATAACACAGTATTTCTTTATGCAAGAAATTAAAGACCATCTTCCAAAGTGTTCCCCTTTGGAAAGTTATGGCTCTGCTTTCTAGCAGTTGGAGTATAGCAAACTTGCATGAGCTACAGCACTGCAAGGAATTGCTGGAAACAATGAACCTACTGCATGTGAGAGCTGGGCTCAAACTGTTCCTGGCTGGCACTCTCTTCCTCAGGTACATGAAGGGTTTCTTGGAACCTCACTTCCTACCTTGTGTCCTCTATTCAAAAGGATTTTGGCAGGAATGAGAGATGGGGAGAGATTCTGAGCAACTGAATCCACAGAGAATATTTCTGGGCTGGAGTCCACAGTGTGTTCTGAGCTGGAGAGACACTAGAACAGCTGCTTGCCAGAGGCTATTTATGGCATTTTTAATAATTTTTATGCTAAATTTTAATCTTGATTGTTTAATGACAGACTTGACCAGACCACTGCAACCTTGTCTTGCTCCAGAAGCTTGGTTAATGGAGCAATGGAGGACATTTTGTACATATGTAATAATGCACGGTATACATCATGGGGTATTTTTGTGTACTATATAAAAATCATCCTGGTCGCTTTTAATTT